CTCAGGTTTCCCTCCTGTAATAGGCAGAATAATGTTCCTCTTCCCTGATATTCCTCATCCTAATCCCCAGAACCTGTGGATATGTCAGGTTTCATAGCAAGGGTAATTAAGGTTGCAGATGGAATTAATATTGCTAATTAGCTGACATTAAGATGGGGAGATTATTGTTAAATAAACAGAGAGAGGCTCTCTGAAAGAATAATGAGTTTAATTGGGAATGGAACATTGCAACGGAAATACATGTGTCATAGTAAACTATGCATGTATTCAGGGAGGTAAAGGAAGAGAAAGGGTTTTAAAAGAAAAATGATGGAGAATTACATAATTGTTTGGGGATAGCTATCCTTGGGCACAAGGATCAATTACAAGAGTAATACCAGTCCAAGGTTGGACAATTACTGGGCAAATGTCCCTGAAGAAGTATTTCTTCATGTGAGGTTGCTATAGCCTCTGCAAGGTTGTGGCTTTGCAGAATCCTTTGTGATAGTGCTTGTTATCAGGCATGCATGCATGAGAACCTATCCCTTCATGACCTTTCCCTGGCTCTATTTGTCAGGGTTTTTTGTTCATTTGTTTTTTTTACACAAGTGACTCCATTTTGATTCTGAAAACTTTCACTGTATCCTGGATTATTCAGGTGAGCCCAATATAATCACAAGGGTCTTTGTAAGTGAAAGAGAGAGGCAGAATAAAGAGAATAAGAGAGGGAGCAATGTGAGAAGGCCTCAGTCTGACATTGACGGCTTTGAAGATGGAGGAACAGGGACATGAGCCAAGGAATGTGGGTAGCTCTTAGAAGCTGGAAAAGGCAAGGCAACTGATTCTCCCCGAGAGTCTCTAGAAGGAATAAAGCCCTACCAATACCTCTCTTTTAGCCCAGGGAGACCCTTTTGAACTTCTGACCACAAGAATTGTAAGATAATAAATTTGTGTTGTTTTAAGCCATTAAGTTTGTAGTAACTTGTTATAGCAGCAGTACAAAACTAATACACCTCTTTATCATTTGATCTCAGCTCAAATATTATCTTCTTAATGAGAGTCTCCCTGACACCCCTCACCTGCTAAAGTATCTCCCCATACCCCAGGCATTCTCTGTGACACTTATTTTCATTTGCTTATGATTACCTATTTTATTTGTGTGTTTATTGCTCTTCCCTCTCACAAGGATGTAAGTTATAGGAGGGTTGGGACTTTGTGGAATATACTAAAAAGCATATGTACTTCACAGTGCCTGGTTTTCCAAAGCCTTGTGGTTTCAGATATTGACCTTGTGGAGGACTGGAAATTTTCCCCAGGCTACTGAGTCTCTGTTGCAAGGTAAGAATTGTGGCGCAGCAGGTTTGCTCAAAGACAGACTAGTAACTGATTGTTATGTAAAGATACTGAGAAATTGCTGTAAGATCACTTAATTGTTTACTGGAATGTCATCTGGCTTGTTTCACTGAAAGTTACCAGCCTATATTGTTAAACTATAACCCTACCTTTGTTCTCTTCCTGTAACTTCCTGGTATGGAAAATAAATGCAGGAAGAGAACCCCAATTCAGTGTTAATTTCCCAAGGAAGGATTGCCTCTTGCTGGAGGGTCCCAGGGAAGTTAACCACTTTGGGGCTTCTCACTGCTCAGAAGAGATAGGCTTTGAGTAATCCTTTGCATCTCCGTTACCCAGGGGAAGTGGGGTGACCAATCTGTGGGGGGCAAAGCAACAAAAGGCAACAGGACTTTGTTGCTCTTATTTCCCTATGTATCTCCATTGTGTAGGACACAGGAACATGGTAAGTGTTCAATAAATTTGTTATATGAATGAACTTTAAGCTAATGAGGACCATAAAACTCTTGCCATTGCTAAATCACAATTAGAGGACGGCTTTTAGAAGAGTCACAAACCTGGTAGGTGCTGTGTTGAGCAGAATTGTCCAAAAGAAAACAGAAATAAAAACAGAATTATAAAGACTCTCTACAAGTTAGGCATAGATGGAAAGTATCTCAATATAATTAAAGCCATATATGATAAGCCCACTGACAATATGATCCTGAATGGGGAAAAGCTGAAAGCTTTCCCCTTAAAAACAGGAACTAGACAAGGATGCCCACTCTCACCACTCCTATTCAACACAGTGTTGGAAGTACTAGCCAGAGCAATCAGAGAAGAGAAGGAAATAAAGGGCATACAGATTGGAAAGGATGAAGTCAAGCTGTCGCTGTTTGTAGATGATAAGATCCTATATATTGAACAGCCTAAAGCCTCTATAAAAAACTCCTAGAGTTGATAACTGATTTCAGCAATGTTGCAGGATACAAAATCAACACACAAAAATCAGTAGTATTTCTATACTCTAACAGTTAACATGCAGAAAAAGAAACAAAGAAAGCTAGCCCATTTACAATAGCCACCAAAAAAAAAAATAACATACTTAGGAATAAAGCTGCCCAAGGATGTGCAAAATCTCTATGAAGAGAACTACAAACCACTGTTGAGAGAAATTAAAGAAGACACAAGAAGATGGAAGGATATCCCATGCTCTTGGATTGGAAGAATTAACATTGTGAAAATGTCCATATTACCCAAAGGGATCTACAGATTCAATGCAATCCCCATCAAAATTCCAATGACATTTTTCTCTGAGATGGAAAAAGCTATCCAGACATTTATATGGAACAACAAAAGACCACGCATAGCCAAAGCAATCCTGAGCAAAAAAATAAAGCTGGAGGCATAATACTACCTGACTTTAAACTATATTACAAAGCTATAATAACCAAAATAGCATGGTACTGGCATAAAAATAGACACACAGATCAATGGAATAGAGAACCCAGAAATCAATCCACATGCCTACAGCCATCTGATCTTTGACAAAGCCAGCAAATCTACATACTGGGGAAGAGACTGCCTTTTCAACAAGTGGTGCTGGGAAAATTGGACATTCATATGTAGGAGAATGAAACTAGACCCATACCTTCCACCATATACCAAAATCAACTCAAAATGGATTAAAGAATTAAATACACATCCTGAAACAATAAAACTCCTTAAAGAAAACGTAGGAGAAACACTCCAGGAAGTAAGAGTGGGTACAGACTTCATAAATAGGACCCCAAAAGCACAGGCAACTATAAGAAAAATAAACAAATGGGATTATATCAAACTAAAAAGCTTCTGCACAGCAAAAGAAACAATCAACAGAGTAAAAAGACAACCAACAGCATGGGAGAAAATATTTGCAAAATAAACATCTGACAAAGGATTAATATCCAGAATATATAGGGAACTCAAACAACTTTACAGCAAGAAAACCCGAATAACCCAATTTAAAAATGGGCAAAGGAGCTGAATAGTTATTTCTCAAAAGAAGATATATGAATAGCCAACAGACACATGAAAAAAATGCTCAACCTCACTCAGCATCTGGGAAAGGCAAATCAAGACCACATTGAGATACCATCTCACCCCAGTTAGGTTGGCTAACATCCAAAAGACTGAGAATGATAAGTGCTGGAGAGGTTGCGGAGAAAAAGGAACTCTCATACACTGTTGGTGGAGCTGCAAAACGGTGCAGCCTTTATACATAATGATATGGAGCTTCCTCAATTACAGATAGATCTACCATATGACCCAGCTATTCCACTGTTGGGAATATACCCAGAGGAATGGAAATCATCATGCTGAAGGGATACCTGTACTCCAATGTTTATTGCAGCTCTATTTACAATAGCCAAGAGTTGGAATCAGCCCTAATGTCTATCATCTGATGAGTGGATAAGGAAACTGTGGTATATCTCCACAATGGAATACTACTTCTGCTATAAAAAAGAATGAAATACTACCATCTGCAACAACACAGATGGACTTAGAGAAAATTATACTAAGTGAAACAAGTCAGGCACAGAAAGAGAAATACCACATGTTCTCACTTATTTGTGGGAGCTAAAAATAAATAAATAAGCACACAAACAAATCGGGAGGGAGGAAGACAGAATAACTACAAAAAATTCCTTGAACTCTTTAAGTCAAGTGAACAGATATGATGGGGGGGAGGGAGGGTAGGGGTGGAGAGGAACGGGTAAAGCAGCATGAAAATCAACTACAATGTACATTGAGAAGTAAAATAAATAAATAAATAAAGGGAGAGGCAGGGGAGGGAAAATATAACATTGCATTTGTTTAATATGTCAAAATAATTAAAAGGGGTTTATGAAGATCATATATATTTTAAAAGATGTCATATATATTTTAAAAGATCATATATATTTTAAGAAGCTGAAAACAAAGTGTTCCATGCTATCAAAAATATATATATATATATGAAATCAGTTGCCTAATTCTAGGTATTGGAGGCAGAAGCTTGAACAGTAAGTATTATCCCTCAGCAACTTCAGCCAAGAGTCCTCCGTGATTACCAGTAAGTAACTACTAGGTTTGGGAAGACCAGAGAGGGGTCAAAAGATAGGAAAACTGAGTTAATCATATAAATAAATTGTTCAATCATCACAGTTCGTAGAAGATCACACAAAAATGCCTCATAACAAGAGAAAAATAGATTAGAAAACAAGTAGTAAGATTCTCTTCTTATATTGAGGGGTCAATTTTCTAATGGAAATTCTTTAAACTGTCAGGTTCAGCTAAAGGATGCAGTGCTGATAATCTCCCCAGGTTCCCTAGTCCGAAATAAGCAGACCTGGTACTTTAAAAGACACCCTAAGAAAGGGAAGCTCCCAGGGAGGCAGGATCCACCAAGCCCAGAGAGCGGGCTGTCCCGACACGTCCCTGGTGTCCACACCTTGGAGACCAGGCTCAGTGCCCTGCCAGGTTGGTGCTCGCCTAGTGCTGCAACAGATCCACAGCGGCGCCAGGAAGACTCAGCTGGATAAAGCCAAGGGGTTACTATCCCCAGGGGCCCGAGAGCCCTGCACTCAGACAGCCAATGGCCATGGATCTAGGGCAGGACCTCAGGGTATCGGGCCAATGGGAGTGCGGCAAGGCTGGAGGGAGCGCCCGGGTCGCAGGGCGGCGGTGGGGTTCGCAGCCCCAGCCCGGGCCGATGTGGGAACTTCGGGAAGCTGAGGCATGCGCGGCAGCGCTCGGCGGTGCGTTCTTCCTGCTGCTCTTCGCTCTGGGGGTCCGCCAGCTACTGAAGCAGAGGCGGCCGATGGGCTTCCCCCCGGGGCCGCCGGGGCTGCCATTTATCGGCAACATCTACTCCCTAGCCGCCTCAGCTGAGCTTCCCCACGTCTACATGACAAAGCAGAGCCGGGTGTACGGCGAGGTACAGCTCCGACGGGCCGCGGGCAGGGAGGGCCGCCGTCCTGTCCTCGGGGCTGGCCCGGACTTTCCTCGCGGCGTGCCCCAAACGTTCCCCTTTGAGGGAAGCCCGCTTCCGGAGGGAGAAGTCCTGGACGCAGTACCCCCTGCCGGGGCAGCCCCGCCCCAGCCGGGTGCCCCACTTCCGGCCGACGCCTGAGGCGATCCTGGCCAGATTTTCCCGCCGCCGAGGGGCGGGCGCGGAGCGAGCTCGAGCTCCCGCGCCTGCGCCGTCGCGTCCGGCGCTCAGCAGGGGATCCGGACCCGGGTCGCACCGTCTCAGGTCTGTGGAGATGCAGGACCCCGTGTAGGTTAGATTCCAGCCCTCGGCCTGTGGGAAAAGCGAGGCGCTGTGAGTGCCAGGACCAAGTTAACAGTTAATAACAGGTTCTTCCGATGTTTGCAGTTGACGAACTGGTATAGGCATGTGCTGTGAGGACTGAAGGAGAACGCAGGTGAACTCCCCTGGGCGACAAGTAGGCTCTGGTAGATGATTGCGACAGTGTGAATGAATTAATGACTAGAAACAGGGGCGCGAGTCCTACAGCGCAGTGGGCAATATCGTTCTCACTGGCCCGGAACATCCTCATAGCAGATACTTAGTATGCGCCAGTGGTGACGTTCTCACTGGCAACTGATCACTCATTTAAAACACACGACCACCCGATGAGGTAGGTACTCTGGTTTCCCCCATTTTACAGAGGAGACACCGCAGCCCAGAAATGGTTAAACTGTGCTATTAGCTGCAAAGGGGGCAGAGGAAAAACAGAAAGGAGCAAAAATGAAAAAGACACATTCACTCAAGAGTAGCCATTGTTTGCCTGACTCTGCCTTAGACGTATATTGATAACTCTTTAAGCTACAGCAGCATTTGATCTTTATCCTAGTGGCGAAACACCCCCAAAGGACTCCCATTATCTTGGAGATATTTCCCAATTCTGACAGTCTCAAAGTTCATATAAGTTGTTAAAAGACTATACCATTTATTGAAGAGACTGTCCTTTCCTCATTGTATATTTTTGACACCTTTGTCGAAAATCAGTTGATTGTAAACGTGTGGTTTAATTTCAGGGCTCTTTATCCTATTCCGTTGGTCAGTTTGTCAGTTTTTATGCCAATACCATTCTGTTTTGGTTATTATAGCTTTACAGTATATTTTGAAGTCAGGGCGTGTGATGCCTCCAACTTTGTTCTTTTTGTTCAAGGTTTCTTTAGCTATACAGGGTCTTTTGTGGTTCCATACAAATTTTAAGATCATTTTTTCCATTTCTGTGAATGTCATTGGTATTTTGATAGGGATTGTGTTGAATGTATGTATTGCTTTGGGTAATATGGACATTTTGATGATGTTAATTCTTCTGACCCATGAACATGAGATATCTTCCCATTTATTTTTGTTCTCTTCAGTTATTTTCACCAATGTTTTATAGTTTTCATTGTAGAGATCTTTCACCTCCTTGATTAAATTTACTCCTAGGTATTTCATTTTTTTGGTAGCTGTTGTGAATGTGTTTACTTTCTTGATTTCTACTTTGGCTATTGAGTTATTGGCATATATGAAGTCTACTGGTCTTCATGTGTTGATTTTGTATCCTACCACTATACTGAATTCATGTGTTAGTTCCAGTAATTTTGGGGCGGTATCTTTAGGGTTTCCTATGTATGTATATGGTCATGTCATCTGCAAATAGGGATACTTTGACTTCTCTACCACTATACTGAATTCATGTGTTAGTTCCAGTAATTTTGGGGCGGTATCTTTAGGGTTTTCTATGTATGTATATGGTCATGTCATCTGCAAATAGGGATACTTTGACTTCTTCCTTTAAAATTTGAATGCTGTTTATTGCTTTCTCTTGCATTATTGAATTGGCTAGAACGTCTACTACTATGTTGAATATGTTGAATGAGTGTGGAAAGTGGGCATCCTTGTCTTGAGGGAAAGCCTCCAATTTTTATCCGTTCAGTATGATATTAGCTGTGGGTTTGTCATATATAGCCTTTATCGTGTTGACGTACATTCCTTCTATACATAATGTGTTCAGTGTTTTTATCATGAAGGAGTGTTGGATTTTATCAAATGCTTTTTCTGCATCTAATGAAATGATCATATGGGTTTTTTTCTTCATTCTGTTGATATGATGTATCACGTTTATAGATTTGCATATGTTGAACCATCCTTACATCCCTGGGATAAATCCCACTTGATAATGGTGTATGATTTTTTTAATGTGTTGTTGGATTCTCTTTGCTAGTATTTTGTTGAGGATCTTTTATCTGTGTTTATTAGGGGTATTGGTCTGTAGTTTTCTTTTTTTTGGTGTGTCTTTTTCCGGTTTTGGTATGAGGGTAATGCTGGCCTCATAGAATGAGTTTGGAAGAATTCTCTCCTCTTTAATTTTTGGAAGAATTTGGGAAAAATTGGTATTAGTTCTTTGAATGTTTGGTAGAATTCAGTAATGAAGCCAGCTGGTCCTGGGGTTTTCTTGTTATAAGACTTTATAACTGCTTCAATCTAATTACTCATTATTGATCTGTTTAGGTTTTCTAGTTCTTCATGATTCAACTTTGATAAGTTGTATATGTCCAGGAATTTATCCATTTCTTCTAGGTTTTCCAGTTGTAATGTTGCCTTTTTCATTTCTGATTTTATTTATTTGAGTATTCTCTCTTTTTTACTTTGTTAGTCTAGCTAAAGCTTTATTGAGTTTGTTTAACTTTTCAAAAAATCAACTCTTTGTTTCATCGGTCTTTTGTATCTTTTTTTAATCCCTAATTCACTTATTTCTGCTCTGATCTTTGTTATTTCTCTCCTTCTATTGATTTTGGGTTTGATTTGTTCTTGTTTTTACAGTTCCATGAGGTGTACTTTTAGGTTGTTTATTTAGTCTTTCTTCTTTTTTGATGTAGGAATTTCTTGCTGTGAACTTCCCTCCTAGAACTGCTTTTGCTATATCCCATAGGTTCTGCTATGTTGTATTTCCACTTTCATCTGTCTCTAGGAATTTTTTAATTTCCTTTTGATTTCTTCTTTGACCCATTTGTTGTTTAGAAGCATATTGTTTAATTTCCATATATTTGTACAGTTTCTAGTGTCCCTTTTATTGTTAATTTCTAGTTTTATTCCATTGTGGTCAGATAACGTAGTTGATATGATTTTGATTTTTTAAAAATTTGTTGAAACTTCTTTTGTGTCCTAACATATGGTCTGTTCTAGAGAATGTTCCATGTGCTGCTGAGAAGAATGTGTATTCTTCAGCTGTTGGATGAAATGTTCTATAAATGTTTGTTAGGTCAAGTTGCCCTACAGTAGAAATTAATTCTGATGTTTCCTGGTTAATTTTCAGTCTGGATGATCTGTCCTTTGCTGAAAGTGGAGTATTAAAGTCCCCAGCTATTACTGTGTTATAGTCTATCTCACTCATTAGGTTCAATAGTATTTGCTTTGTTTAAATAGGTATATATATATTTAGAATTTTTATATTCTCTTCTTGAATTGATCCCTTTATCGATATATAAATGGCCTTCTTTATCTTTTTTTTGCTTTCCTTGACTTGAAGTCAATTTATCTGATGTATGTATAGCTACTCCTGCTCTTTTTTGTTTCCATTTGTATGAAATATCTTTTTCCTTCTTTTAAAGTTTATTTATTTATTAATATTATTTTTTTTTTACATTCTATGATGTTGTGGAGCAGCTCGGGGGGAAAGGGAGAGGAAATAGGTTGGGAGAAGGAGAAAGGAGGAGGGGCAGAACTGAGGCCTGTGGCATCCCCCTCATTCCTGCATGGGAGACCAGGGGGTTTCCAGCAGTGGCCCGGTCATTGCTGAACTGGGTATAGATAGTGATTTTCTTATAGGCAACATATTGTTGGTTCTTATTTTATAATCCATTCAGCCAAACTGTGTCATTTAATTAGGCATTTAATCCGTTTATCTTTAGGGTTATTATTGATATATAGAGACTCATTACTGCCATTTTGCTATTTTTGTCCAGTTGTTTTGTGGATACTTTTTCCTTTTTTCAGTCTTACTGTCTTCCTTTGTGGTTGAGTAGTTTTCTCTAGCTTTATGTTTGATTTCTTGCTATTTATTCTTAGTATGTCTCTTATAAGTTTTTGTGTTATGGTTACCATGAGGCTTACAAAAAACATGTTATAGTTATAACAAATTACTTTAGACTAATAACAACCTTGACATCTAAGGAAAAAGGAAAAACAAAGCCAACTCAATGCTTTGGTGTCATCCCCACCTCCCCTTTTTTGACATTTTGTTGTTCCAAGCTACATCTTTTAATATTGCCTGTCTGTGTATGGTATATGTTATTGTCTTGTTAGGTTTATCCTTCAGTCTTTATACTAAGGATATAAGTTGTTTATTCAACACCCTTACAGCATTGGAGTATTCTGAGGTTGTCTGTATATTTACTTTACTAATGAGTTGTGTACCTTCAAATGTTTTCATGCTACTCTTTAGTGTTGTTTTCTTTCAGATTGAAAAACTCCCTTCAGCATTTCTTGAAAGACAAGCCTAGTGTTGGTGAATTCCCTTAGCTTTTGTTCATCTGGGGAACACTTCATTTCTCCTTAATATTTGAAGGTTAGTTTTGCCAGATACAGAATTCTTTGCTGACAGTCTTTTTCCTTCAACACTTTGAATATATCATCCCATTCTCTTCTGTCTTGTAGGGTTTCTATTGAGAAATCCACTGAGAGACATAGTGAGGCTCCTTTGAATGTTATGTTTTGTTTTGTTTTTTTCTCTTGCTGCTTTCTGTGTTCTCTCTGTCTTTCGTTTTTGATAATTTGATTATGATGTGTCTTGGGGTATTCCTCTTTGAATTGAATTTTGTTGGTGACCTTGAGCTTCCTGAATCTGGATGCTGTCACCTTTCTTCATACTTGGGAAATTTCCAGTCATTATTTCCTTGAATATGCTTTCTAGGTCTTTTCCTTTTTCTTCTCCTTCAGGTATGACAATTTTGCAGAGGTTATTTCGCTTGAGGGAGGGAGTCCCATATTTGTTGTATTTCTGTTTCATTTTTTCTATTCTTTTTTTGGTTTTGCTCCTCTGGATAATTTCATGTGTTTTATCTGTGAGCTCACTGATTCTTTCCTTTGTTTGATTAAGTCTACTGTTGGAGCTTTCTGTCAAGTTTTTCGATTGAGATAACGTATTCTTTATTTCTAGAATTTCTATTTGGTTTTTTAAATTGATCCTATTTCTTTATCAAATTTCTCATTCTCCTCCTGAATTTTTTTTCAAATACATTTAATTTTCTCTCTGTATTTTCTCGTGACTCCCTGAACATCCTTAAGATGGTTATTCTGAATTCTCAGTCAGACATTTCATAGATCTGCTGTTCCTCTGCATCTGTTCCTGGTACTTTGTTTCATTTGCTGGTGATATATTTCTCTGTTCTTCCTCAATCTTTGTGTCTTTACATTGATGCCTGGGCATTTGAGGAGACTGCCACCTCTTCTAGGTTTTATAGGTGGTTATCAGAGCTTTGTCTCTAGTTTATGGGTTTTGGGTTTTTTTTTTTTTTCTCTTCTGTGGTGGATTAATAACTATCACTGCCATTTAGACTGTGCATAGGAACTAGTGTGCTGTCCTGTGGTTAGTTCATGACTTGGAAGAACTTCCTGTGGAGGTAAGACCTTGAGCTCTGTACTTGAGCTAAACTGCTGCTTTGCTGCTGATTCTGTGGGGAAGTCTTTTTGTGGGATCATTAATCACTTCTGGATCTGGGCTGTGTGGAAATTCCAGCCTGGTACTGAGTTTCCTGCAGATGGTGCCTGCTGCAGTTCTATCGCCCTGACCAATTTCCACTGAGACCAGCTGCCCTCCCTGCTCCCAGTGTTCCTCTGGAGGGCCAACCTTTCTCCTGCACTCCAAGTGTTTCCCATGGTATAGGCCATGTATGTGTCCCTCATGATAACTCACCAGCCTCTGGGCAGCTCCTTATGCCAGTCAGCTGCAGTTGCTTGCTCCTATGCGAGCCCAGGGGAATCCTGCCAGTTGTCTTTATGGCTTGTGGGCTGTTATGGTGTGCTCCAAAGCCCTCCTCTCCCCTGCAGGCTCCAAGCAGGTTTACGTGAAGGGTGTCACTGCAGCTTTTTCCAGCTTTGGTCCATGTGCAGCAGCCACCCCCATGCCCTACCAGGATGGCTCAGAAGCGGCCAGGGCTCAGAACAATAGGCACCATTTCTACACCCTCTTGCTGTGGCTTCTTGCCCCTTCATGAACTCCACAGGTTTCTCCTCTTCTTCCTTCAGCTCCAGCTGTCCCATATTGGTAGTTTTTACTTTTTAATAGTAGTAAATTGGTCACGCGTGGGTAGGAGCAACACTGGGAATTGTTTATTCCACCATCTTAATGACATCACTGTCCCTCCTTTATAATTGCTGAAAGACAGCCAATCCTCATGACTTACACATTCATCTTAAAGGCAATCTTTTTTTTTTTTTTCCCTTTTTTTTTGTCTTTTTTACTGACCGGTAACGGGATCGCAACCCTCGGTGTCGCGCCCGCACCGGGGACCAGCAACGGGATCGCAACCCTCGGTGTTGCGCCCGCACCGCGCTCAGCCAGTGAGCGGGAACCAGACTCCACATGGGATCCAAACCCTGAGCAGGAGCGCCGCCGCGCTCCCAAGCGGCGCACTCTCCAGCGCGCCACCAGGCCGGCCCTTAAAGGCAATCTTAAGTAGAAAGTGTTTCACAGGTAACGGGATCGCAACCCTTGGTGTCACGCCCGCACCGGGGACCAGCAACGGGATCGCAACCCTCGGTGTTGCGCCCGCACCGCGCTCAGCCAGTGAGCGGGAACCAGACTCCACATGGGATCCAAACCCTGAGCAGGAGCGCCGCCGCGCTCCCAAGCGGCGCACTCTCCAGCGCGCCACCAGGCCAGCCCTTAAAGGCAATCTTAAGTAGAAAGTGTTTCACACCCAAAATTACCATTTCCTTGGAGATTCACTCTGAATGTTTAAGCTTCTGCAGTGACTTTAATCTTAATCTAGATTTGGGGAAGCATTCCCTAGCTAGCAAAGCCAATGCAAGTAACTTTCTCAGATTCTTTTTAGGTAATGCACTTAAGGACAATAAAATAATTTCTTTACTTCAAGGCAAGTAGAATTTACAACTTACTGATTTATTTGTACAACAAGAATTTATTGAGAACTTTATGCAAGCCACTGAATGAGATTCTATGGAGGATTCAAAGATGAAAAAGAAGAAATCACTGCTTCTAAGGAGTTTATAATTTAGCAAAGAGGTAGAAGAAAAGAATATGTATGTTTCTGGTTCAAAGTAGTGTTAAATAAGTGCCATGGGAGCTTCTAAGCATGTGCTGTGGTGGTTCAAAGCAGAGAGAGAAAGAGGGAGCACACCTAGGAAGGCTTCATGGAAGATGGTCCCTAACGGCTTGGTATGGTTTGGATAGTGTGGCAGTCAAGGGAAATATTCCAAAGGAGAAAGCAGACCAAGCAAAGGTTCAGAGTGTGCTAGTCACTCCATAGATTTCATGAACAGCACTTTGCACATTCATCTGTTATTAACTCTGGCCATGATGTTGTAATAAAATGCTTACATGTATGTCTCCATGACTATTCAGTAATTTTAGCATATATTTATTGGTTGTGATCCTATGCTGTGTACTGTCCTAGGTACTAGAGATATAGCAGTTAACAAAACAGAGATCCTTGCTCTCATGTAGTTTACATTCTAGTGCAGGGAAGACAGACAATATAAAAATGATAAGTACATTATAAAGTATGTTGGAAGAGTGTAGAGTATGAAGTAAACCAAATTAGGGTAAGGGATATGGAGGATGCTTGAAGGTCAAATTTTAAATTGCTTAGGCGGAGCAGCCCTCATTGCAAAGACAGCTTCTGAACAAAGACTTAAAGGAAATGAAGGAACAAGCTATAAGAATATCGAGAGGAAGAACATTCCAGACCAAGAGAAGAACAAGTAAAAAGACCATGAAGCAGGAGTGTGCCATGTTGAGAATTATCTATAAAGAGACAAGGATGAATTTAAGGAGGCCTTTTAGGAGACTATTGTGATAACATAAGGGAGAAATGCAGGTGGTTTGGATCAGAGTGACAGTGATAGAGGTGATAAGAAATTGTCAGATTCTGTTTATATTCTAAAATTATAAATAACATGACTGCTGATCAGGTGGATGTGGGATTTGGAAAAAATATTGAGTCAACATGGCAACGGCAAGATTTTGGGCCTGAATAACTTGAAGGACAGATGGACTGGTCAGTACCTGAGATAGTGAAAAATTACGGGTAAAGCTAGTTTGTGGGGGAGAGGAAGAGACTTGAAGATGTGTCATTTAACAACGGGGATACATTCTGAGAAGTGCATTGTTAGGCGATTTCATCATGTGCAAACATCATAGAGTGTACTTACACAAACCTAGGTGGTATAGCCTACTACATAGCTAGGCTAGATGGTATAGCCTATGGCTCCTGGGCTACAAACTTGTACATTGTTACTGTACTGAATATGCTAAGCAGTTGTAACACAATTGTATTCATGTAATCTAAGCATAGGAAAGGTACAGTACAAATATGGTGTTATAATCTTATGGGACCACTATTATGTATGTGGTCCATCATTGATTAAAACTTCATTATGTGGTACATGACAGTATTCTCTGTGGCAACACTGAAGCCCCCAAATTATTACGTATTCTGCCCAGGGTCTTATATCTGTTTATGGGCAAATCTTAACCTAGAACCCAGGCCTCCTGAGTCCAGTACTCTTTCCATTTATAAGATTATGACTTCAGGCACTGAATGATGTTATGAAATCACACTGTTTGACATGTCTTTTAGAGGAAGGCACCCTAAACATTGTCAGTTGGGTAAGAAATGCCTACATTTTCAGGGAAGAAACAAATACTAGGAGAGATGGGTTTAGCATATGTGGATTTTCGTAGTTATATTTCTCCATACATTCTACCACTTAAATGCATTATTCTTCTCTTCTCAAAGATTTTCAGTTTAGATCTTGGTGGCATATCAGCTGTGGTTCTAAATGGCTATGATGTAGTAAAGGAATGCCTTGTTCATCAAAGTGAAATTTTTGCAGATAGACCAAGCCTTCCTTTATTCATGAAGATGACAAAAATGGGAGGTATGTTTATTTTCACCTATTTAATGATTTATTAAACTATTTTAAATCACATTCCTCATTTTAAGTTATTTTAGTACATAAAGTTAGGATTCTTTTACACTAAGAGAATTTATTTACTTACTTACTTACATAGAGAACTTGGTATTTGAGGACCTTGCAGGCTGCATTACACTCCTATTTTAGTCCAGTACATGCTAATTCAATTGTAATCCAGTTCTAATAAAGATTGTAAATAATATTTTAAAGATTTAGTACTTAATAACTGCAGGTTTTGTGAAACAAGTTAGAAACACACACATGCAGTTTTGAATCAGAAGTGCCTTTTTGAAGCCAGTCTTGAATATTTGGTGACACTTTTACTATCATTTTACTTATAAGCTTACAGAACCTGAAGCAGCCTTTCTTAATTACTAATCACTATGATATGTAAATGGAGAGTTATGGGGTTGTTGTAAAGGACTAGCATTCTCTGTGTTTAATGTTGATCAAGTTGGATGATTCCATATTCAATAACGGAAAAAGGCTGAAAGTTGACAAAATTGGTGAGAAGAAAACTGCAACAGAAAGTTTAAAATAGAATGTTGAAATCAGTTTTCAGTGGCTTTAACAGTTAATAGTATAAGAATTTTTACAGTAGTGGTGTCTTAAATTCTCTAATGAGAGCTTCACACTTAATTTCAAAAATAAATCTAACAGTATCTTGCTTACATTGGCTAAAAGGAAGATATTAGTTGAAAAGAAAAAAGTGAATGTTCTATATTAGATCACAAAGCAAATAAATTAATTCAGAGCACAAATTTTGAAGACCACATTCTCAGCCCAGAATATAATGATCCTCAAAAGCAACAATATAAATAGAAAGCTAATCTCCAGACTCTTAAATACTCTTCTAAGTAACAATTAGGCCACAGAGGAAGCCACAATTATAATAGAAGACCTTTAAAGAAAAGATGAAAATGAAAGGTGATATGATCTGAGTAATATTTGAGACAAAGTATATATTTTTCAGAGCTGTAAATTTATATACTTTTTATAATAAAGAGAGATAAAATAAGCTTTCGAGTTACGATTTGCAAAAAACAGTAAGAGAAAAATAGGTAGAAAATTATATGTGTTATTTTAAGGTACATATGCACTGAACTTGGAACTGAAAAATCTTGGCTACCACTAGGCCACTGTGTGAATGGGAAAAAGTCACCCTTTGGGTGAACTCAACTTCATGCCGAGGCACACAGCTTGACCACTATATGATTTATAAACAGTGCTCCTCTATACCTTCTTGTATGTTTATACCATATGCAGTGATCTTTCCCCAGGTATTTGTTTGTCTTACTCCCTCATCTCCTACAAGTCTTTACTCAAATGTCACCTTCTCAGTGAGGTTGTCCCTGATACATAGGTATCTCCTTGCTTGCTATATAATTTATTTATTTGTTGCTTGTCTCTCCTGGAGAACACTGTCTAGAACATAGTAGGTGTTCCATAAGTACACATTAAATGAATATTTGTTGAATGAATAGTCATCTGGGAGTGTGGAAAAGGGAATAGATTATGGAAATATAAAATTGCTGCACAGCACTAAAGACCCCATTACATATGGTTAACTTTTTAATAAGTGCCAAATTGAAAAATTGTTGCACAAAAGTTGTTAGAATGTAAATTTTATATGTACTTTATGTACACAAGAAAATGTGACATTTTTCATCATAGGTACACCCATGTCCTAGCGATGAATGAAATTTCAAATAAAGAACATATATAAATATATGCACTGAAGATGCTGGGTTTCTTTCTTGGTAGATAATTTAAAGGGGAAAATTTCCATAATAGCCATATCAGAACAGCACATACACTGTGGAGACTCTGAAATTTTAAGGTGAGCAATATCAGTGCTAGAAAAGTTTGAACTATGTGTTTGTCCTCCTTTTGACTTAAGAATTTCTACTACATTGGCACCTCATTCAGGCTAACCTTGCTTCTGCCATAGTGAACTTGTTGGGTATCATATGCCTTTAACAGGAAGAAATTTATATTCTAAAATCCAGTATCTTTTAAGCAGAAAATTTCTAATCCTAGAAGGATGATTTCTCAGGTGTTTACTTAGTCCAGGATAAAATTTTGCCCATAGAACATGCAGTCATTTGTCTTTTATAAATTAGGCTCATAGTAAGAGTGGAAAGTATAATAAAAAGTATAATAAAATCACCTGGGCCTAGTTTGGCCAGGTTCTTTTGGTGGGAGAATTATAGGTCTTTTCTGTCAGCTCCCAGATGGGGAGTAGACAAGCCTTATGTTATAGCATTCTATGTCTAATGAGTAGCAGAGAACAGGACACAATCATCCAATAATATAGAAAGATAATTTGTGAAAGACTAACTAACCATCCATTCTTTTTTTTTTTTTTTTTTTTTACTTCACAGTATTTTCAGCTGTTGGATACAGGGAAGTAGGAACTATGCAATATTTTTAATATGTTTTCTTTCAGGTTTACTCAATTCCAGATATGGCCGAGGATGGGTGGACCATAGAAGATTAGCCGTAAACAGCTTTCGCTATTTTGGATATGGCCAAAAGTCTTTTGAATCTAAAATCTTAGAAGAAACCAAATTTTTTATTGATGTTATTGAAACATACAAAGGTAGACCTTTTGACTTTAAACAATTAATAACAAATGCTGTTTCAAACATAACCAATTTGATCATTTTTGGAGAACGATTCACTTATGAAGACAGTGATTTTCAGCACATGATTGAGTTATTTAGTGAAAATGTGGAACTAGCTGCCAGCGCCTCGGTCTTCCTATATAATGCCTTTCCATGGATTGGCATCTTACCTTTTGGAAAACATCAGCAGCTATTTAGAAATGCAGCTGTGGTCTATGATTTTATCTCCAGACTTATTGAAAAAGCTTCAGTCAACAGAAAGCCTCAGTTACCTCAGCATTTTGTTGATGCTTATTTAGATGAGATGGATAAAGGTAAAAATGACCCATCATCTACTTTTTCCAAAGAAAACCTAATTTTCTCAGTGGGTGAACTAATCATTGCTGGAACTGAAACTACAACCAATGTGCTACGGTGGGCAATTCTTTTCATGGCCCTTTATCCAAACATTCAAGGTAAGGATTTTCTAGATGATCTCAGGGTCTACCCTACATGTAGGGATCTCACATGTTTTAGTGTCATAGACCATGTACACAGCATTTTCTTTAGGAACTCCTGCTGTACTAGCCAAGAAGAGAAATATTTAATAGTTATAAAGAGTTTTCAAATCTGTTATCTCAATTCATGTTAAAAAAAAAAAACAAAAACAAATCTCTGAGATAGGTGTTATTATACCTATTTTATAAATGAGGAAAAAGTCTGAGCCAAAGTGGCAGAGCTGGGATATAAACCCTGCTTTTTTAAATTCAAGTTTCAGCTTCACTATTTTCCTTGCTGAGAGTGATGTTACTCCAGTTCTAGGTTTATCAAGTTTTTACTCTTACTACTTTTAATGTGTTTTTCACAACAGAATTACCCGGAGCTTTGGCTACTGTTAATACAAGATATATGGCATATATTTAAATAGAACTCCTAGAAAGTGAAAAACCTGAATCTGGGTGTACCTGTATCCTGTTGGTTTATTATAGGTTATTCTTTGTTTTATGCCAAAGGGAATACTTTAGATATAATTTAGATGTAATTCTAAGAATTGCATAATAACTTGAACACTTTCTCTCTAACAGGACAAGTTCAGAAAGAGATTGATTTAATTATGGGCCCTAATGGGAAGCCTTCTTGGGACGACAAATGCAAAATGCCTTATACAGAGGCAGTTTTGCATGAAGTTTTAAGATTCTGTAATATAGTTCCATTAGGAATTTTCCATGCAACCTCTGAAGATGCCGTTGTACGTAGTTATTCTATTCCTAAAGGCACAACAGTAATTACAAATCTTTATTCTGTGCACTTTGATGAAAAGTACTGGAGAGACCCAGAAGTCTTCTATCCTGAGCGATTTCTGGACAGCAGTGGATATTTTGCCAAGAAGGAAGCTTTGGTTCCTTTTTCCCTGGGTAAGAGAACTTTCACAGGGGCATAACTTTAGAATAAAGTATAACAATGAGTTATCATGTATAGCATCTTAATCTGAAGCATTCTGCTATAGAATTAAATATTCCAACTCTGAAAACACAGCATTAGTTTTTACAGAAGAGAATGGTTGAATTCAAGGTAAATTAACACCTGTTTTACTCAAAATAAGTCTTTATTAACTAGAGAAACATTGTTGAGAAGTTGAGAAGCTCTGACTTCTGAAACACTTTTGCTTGTGGATATTTGGCTTGTAATTAAAACTAGGAGAACTAGAAGTCAGTTACTGGTAGCCTGAGAAACTGAGATCCAAAAATGGGAAAGGCATGGTAATTCGAAGTAAAACTAGATTCTAGTTTTCTTGGCTTCCAGTTTATTGTACTCATCTCCAACTAGGAAAATATTGCTTCTGCTGTAAAAAAGTAGACAGATCACAAGACCCATGGAAGGTGGACTAGAATCTGTTCCTCTTCACTGGGGAAGAATACACATTTAGTCTGTCAAAACTAAATACACACTTAGTCTTGGATCTACAGAACAAAATGCCACACCTCAAATTAGATCTTTCATGGCATATCTTAGGCTCTGTTGCAGTGTGCAGGGGAAGTGGAAAATGGGACTAAAATTATACAGAAGTCCATGATTTGACAAAAGGTAAAGGAATAGGTTCTGGGAGCTGAAGTGCCAATTTCTATTCTTTGGGATTTAAGAGAATCCTTTAATAAGCATTAGTTCCTCTAACTTTCTCTAAATTCTGAATTTTCTGAATGTCACCCAAACATTAGACATTAATTTTGGTAAATATTGTGAGCTTTTAAAAATTCTTATATTTGCTTTTTCTGTCTAGGGAGAAGACATTGTATTGGAGAACAGCTGGCTCGGATGGAAATGTTCTTGTTTTTTACAGCACTGCTTCAGCGGTTTCATTTGCATTTTCCACATGAACTAGTTCCAAATCTGAAGCCAAGGTTAGGCATGACATTGCAGCCCCAGCCCTACCTCATCTGTGCTGAAAGACGTTGAAAGTGCATGGATGTTTTGGGGAATGAGGATGTCAGCCTCACACCTGAACTTTGTTTAATATAATCAATGTGTGTGTTTAGACAAAAGTCACAGCATCATAAAGCCAAATGAACACAGATGTGTTTTTAAAAACAGTACTAAAGCAATAACAAGCTTTAGCTATTTTCCCAAGCTTTTATGACTTCTATGGTAGAATTTTCTGTTGAAGAACACAAAGGTACAGATGAAAGGTATTGTTTAAGGTGCTAAGAAGGGCCATGGATGCCCTAAGCAGAGCCTCTTGTTCAGTACCAGGTACTTCTCATCCTTTCTTGACTCCATCTAGCTCCTGTCCTGGGGAGCTTTAGATCCAGTTGCCAACTCCCTTCTGATCAGGTTTGGTCATTAATAGACTGTTTTGGTACTAATCCAGTTTAATAGAGGACTAAAAAAGAAAGTAAAACTCAAATGAGTTTGGACTACAGAGGTAATTTAGATGTGGTGGCAGATGACAGCAGAAATACCTATTTAATGTACAATGTACCAGTGCTTTCAAATCTTGCTCCCTGCTATGTCTTCATAAGCACTGTGTTATTTTTCCTATAAATGAGGATCCCCGTGACTGAGCATCTGTCCACATAGCAGCAGTTCAGTAGATAGGAAATGACGGTGATGTGTTTACAGTAAAAATGACACATAGCTATTGATTCTTTGTAGACATAGACATTTTCCTTGTCACCTCTTTCTTAAGCCAGACACAGGGCTTAAAGATTGAATCCTCTTAATAAGTTTTAGAGGCTTCTAGGAATTTCCATGGGTTAGTGTTATTTTTCTAAAGATAGTAATATTCAAATCCAAAAACGTGCTTTAGAGACAGAGTGACCGTATAAACTGGGATACTTGAGAGTGATTGGGTACTGTTAATCATTATGCCAGGACAACAAAAGTAAATTTTGACTGCCCTGAACAAACTAGAATGTATGTTCACCCAATTATAGCTATTTTTACATTATCATTTCTTCTAAAGTTGTACATTAAGCATTCATACTCTTGTAACTTGGCTCAAGAATAGTTGTAACCTCAGAGTAAGTGCACATAACAATGACTTCTATTAAGAATATGGATTTAGCCTTTAGTTGGGCTTCATCTTTTGAGTATTTTCAAGTTTCTGTTATAAATCAGGAGTCTTTACATCTCTGATATATTAAGATGTTTCCAGTTGTACAAGGCAAAAAAAAATCCTGTGCAAATTTACTTAAATAATAAAAGGGAAATTTGAAGGTAATATGGAAGTTTTGGGGTTGATGTGGCCATTAATTTAAAGCTGTGAGTAAGATTATGGTTCACTTAGGCCTGAACATATGCCTGACTGCTAGAACTAGGGATGGAGTTGGCTTCTCCCAAAGTACATGTGCTACGTAGGAGTGGTATAGGTATCTAAACAAAAACAAGGGTAATTATGAAGGGAAGAGGAACTGTAAGTCAGGAGACCAATTATAGTATCTCCCTCACCTGCCCACTGACCACCTGCTAAGTGGCTTTCCAACCTTCCATTCCTGAACCTTGACAAATCTACTCATTCAAGTTGCTTCTTAATCTTTGTTCTTTCTTTGACATAGCAATTCCTTTATCCCTGGGCCTCCTACTTACTGTCATATCTCCCATAAAAGCCTAAGCTGAACTCTATAGACAGGGGGTTCTGGAATATTGGTGGTCATACTGAGCAAAGCAAGTTAGTGAACTGAAGTAGAGTATAATAAACATTGAGGAGGCCTTGTTTTGCTTTTGAGTACTACCACTATTGCTTCTAGTACAATTAGGAACTCCATAAACCTATATAGAGTGGCGATTATATTATTTACCTTGTGTCTAAGAAAATTTTTGCATTTTTCCTCAATCAGGTTAATGTAATGTGACAAAAATCATAAAAGATGTAGATTTATAAACTGCTTCACAACTTCTAAAAGGTAGAAACCTCTAAAAGGTAGAAGAGCATTAATCTCCCTTGACATGCTCATTTTATAGCCAAGGAAATAGGGATTCAGACAGGGGAAGTGATTCCTCTAGTTCATGGCAAAGCTATGGTTTATTTTATCCCATATTCTATCCCATATTCTTTTTACTCATACCCAATAATTTGTACTATATAATTTACAAGGTTGTTTTTCTTATACTGTCAACTCTCAGCTATTTAGAGCCAATTAACTGTGTTAAAAATAAAATACTGCACTTTTGGAAAAATATAAATTAACGTGAATTAGTAAGGTAAGCCATAATGGAAAGTTTTTATTTTTTAGAATTACATAGTAACAGATACATTGGACCTATGCAGTGCGAATGCCTGCTCTCTCACCAGTCAATGATGAGCTACTAATTAGAAATTGGAAATCTAACTTCTGATTCAAGATGGCAACTGAGCATACTTATTTCTTCGTAGATACCACTGAAATAACTATAAGGATAGGAAAAAGGGTCAAAGGATTGAGAATGATAGTTTCAAGTTCTAGAAGATGGAAGGTGAATGGAAAAATATCAAAGGAACCACAGATAAGACCGTCCATATACAAAGCCTGAGCTAGAAATGGGAGCTTGTATTAGTCCATTTCTGTTGCTTAAAACAAAATACCTGGAACTGGTAATTTGTAAGAAAATGAAATTTATTGCTTACAGTTTCAGAGGCTGGGAAGTCCAAAGTCCAGGGAACACTCAGGTGAAGGTCTTCCCCGGTGGCGGCTTCACAGACACAGTGTCACTGATGTTATTTATGGCATTTATTGTGTCGAGATACTTTCCTTCTATACCTGGTTAGCTGAGAGTCTTTATCATGAAGGGATCCTGAATTTTGTCAAATGCTTTTTCTGCAACTATTGGATAATCGTATGGTTTTTGTCCTTGATTGCATTGGTGTGGTGTATCACATTTATTGCCTTGTGTGTGTTGAACCATCCTTGCATCCCTGAGATGAATCCCACTTGATTGTGGTGTATAATTTTTTTTTATGTATTGCTGTATTCTGTTTGTTAATATTTTATTCAGGATTTTTGCATCTATGTTCATCAAAGATATTGGCCTGTAGTTTTCTTTCTTTCTTATATCTTTGGTTTTGGAATCAGGGTGATGCTGGCCTCATAGAGTTCAGGAGAGTGTCCTCTGTTTGAAGTTTTTGAAGTAGTTTGAAGAGAATTGATATTAATTCCTCTTTAAGGGTTTTTTAGAATTCAGCAGTAAAGTCATCCAGTCCTGAACTTTTCTTTGTTCGGAGACTGCTGACTACCACTTCAATCTCATTGCTTGTTATTGGTCTGTTCAGGTTTTCTCTTTCTTCTTGGTTCAGTGTTGGTAGTTTGTACATTTCCAGAAATTTATCCATTTCCTCCAGGTTTTCAAATTTGTTGTCATGTAGTTTTTATAGTAGTCTCTAGTGATTCTTTGTATTTCTGTAGTACCAGTTGTAATGCCTCCTTTTTTATTTCTGAGTTTTGTTATTGGGTCTTCTCTCTTCTTTTTTTAGTTAGCCTAGCTAATGGTTTGTCTATTCTGTTTATCTTCTCAAAAAAAAAAAGACTTTGTTTCATTGATCTTTTGTATCTTTTTTTTTGGGGGGGGGCGTCTGTTTCATTTAGTTCTACTCTGATCTTAATTATTTCTTTCTGTCTACTAACTTTGGGATTGGATTGTTCTTGTTTTTCTAGATCTTTGAGGTATAGCAATAGGTTGTTTATTTGAAATCTTTCTATTCTTTTGATGTAAGCATTTATTGCAATACTTAGTACTGCTTTTTCAGTATCCCACAGGTTTTGGTATGATGTGTCTTTATTTTCATTAGTTTCAAGAAATTTTTTGATTAACTGTTTAATTTCTTCTTGGATCCATATGTCATTCAGGAGCATTTTGTTTTATTTCCATGTTTTGTATAGTTTCCAGAGTTTCACTTGCTATTGATTTCTAGTTTAATCTGTGGTCAGAAAAGATATTTTAAATGATTTCAATTTTTTAAGGTTGGTTGAGACTTGATTTGTAACCTAACATGTTGTTTATCCCGAAGAATGTTCCGTGTGGTGATGAGAAGAATGTATATTCTGTAGTTATTGGATGAAATGTTCCTTAGATATCTGCCAAGTCCAGTTGGTCTAAAGTATGGTTTAAATCCTGTGTTTCTCTGTTGATTTGTTTCCTCTATGATCTGTCCAGTATTGAAAAAGGGATGTTCAGTTCCCCAGCGTTTATTGCATTTGGGTCTATCTCTTCCTTTATGTCTAATAGTGTTTGCTTTATATATCTGGGTGTTCCAGTGCTAGGTATATATATATTTATGATCATGTCTTCTTGCTGGATAGATCACTTTATCATTACATAGTGCCCTTCTTTGTCTCTTTTTATGGTTTTTGGTTTAACATCTATATTATCTAATATAAGAACAGCTATCCTGCTCATTTTTAATTTCCATTGGAGTGGTATATCTTTTTCAATCCCTTCACTCTTAGTCTGTGTGTGTCTTTGTAGGTGAGGTGAGTCTCTTGTAGACAGCATATAGTTGGGCCTAGCTTTTTAATCCAATCAGCCAGTCTATGTCTTTTAAGTGGGGAATTTAATCCATTTACATTTAGGGTTGTTACTGAAAGGTATTGTCTTATTCCTGGTGTTTTATCAATTTTCATTTGGATGTTTTGAATATCTTTTGTTTCTTTAGCCTTTGTCTGTCTTCAGTGTTTGTTGGTTTTTTGAGTTAGTAAGATGCAGTTTCTTTCTCTTTCTTGTTTTCATTTTTTTTCTACCAGTGGGTTTTGTTCTTTCATCTGTATTCATGGTAGTGATTCCAGATGAAGGACTCTTGATGATTTCTTGTAGGGCTGGTCATGTGGTGCTGAACTCTCATTGTTTTTGTTGGGAAATATACTATATTTCTCCTTCACTTCTGAAGGATAGCCTTTCTGAGTATAGTATTCTTGGTTGGTAGTTTTTCTCTTTTAGTATTTTCAGTATATCACCCCATTCTCTTCTGGCCTGTGGAGTTTCTGTTGAGGAACCTACTATTCATCTGATAGGAACTCCTAAACAGGTGACTTGACACTTTTCTCTTGCTGTTTTAGGATTCTCTCTTTGTTTTGAGTTTTGCCAGTTTGACTGTAGTATGTCTTAGAGAGGACTTTTTGAATTGAATCTGTTTGGGGATCTTTGAGCCTCCTAAATCTTAAGGTCTGTGTCTCTCCCTATACATGGGAAGTTTTCCACTATTATTTCATTCTCACTGCCTTTTTCTTTCTTCTTTGCTTCAGTAACACCCATGATTTTGATGTTTGTGCACATAAGGTTGTCTGCTATCCCCCTTAGATTTTCTTTATTTTCTTAAATTATTTTTTTTTGGGGGGGGTGCCTGAGTTATTTGAAGAGACTGTCTTCAAGATCAGAAATTTTCTTCTGCTTGCTCTAGCCTGCTGCTTACACTCTCAGTTGTGTTTATTTTGTTGAATGACTCCTTCATTCCCATGAGTTCTGCTACATTCTTTTTTAAAGTATTAATCTCTTTGTAAATTTACTCCTTCATATTCTGGATAGTTTTGCTCAGTTCATTGTATCATCTAACTGCACCTTTTTGCATCTCATTAGTTACTTAAGATTTTTACTTGGAGTTCCTTTTCAGTCATTTCAAGGGTTTCCTGCTCTATGGTGTCTGGTACTTGAGAGTTTTTATTCCTTTTCTGAATTCATCTTCTCCTGTTCTTTTGTATTTCTAGTATCTGTACATTGATGTTTGGTAATCTGATAGAGCAGTTGCTTCTTCTGTTACTCTCCTTCCCTGGACTTAGCTGGTGACCCTCCTTGTGTCAGTGCAGTTGAGTGGTCAGTGGTCTGCCTGGTCAGCAGGTGGTGGTAGCAGGCCACACTTGCAACAGCAGTGGTTGTGCGAGTGGCTTTGGAGGGCTGCCCACATGGAAGCGGTGTCTCCAGCAGCTGCTGGCTGCTCACATGATGATGGTGGCTGCCTGACGGTGCCAGTGGCAGTTGTAGCAGCCACTTAGTTGGCTGCAACATCCACAGTGGTGGCCTGTGCAGCTATTATGGTGTTTGTAGCAGCAGCTGGGTTTACTTTGCAGTTGTGGCACCAGCATTGGTGCCTGCAACTGCCTCCCTGGTGTCTTCTGTGTCCTTGTCAGCAGTGGGGTTACCTTGTGGGGACAGCAGTGGCACCAGCGGCTGCACCTGCCTCACATCTGAGGTGTTTACCTTGTGGGGGTGGCAGTGGCATGGGCAGTTGAATTGTCTTCCTTCTATCTGCAGTGT